ACCAATCGGCAAAAAACCTGCAATGCCCTGCTTCACTCTTCTGTTCGGAGAAGAGGAAGTCAGGCGGAAGCAGATGGGAGGAACGGCAGCTCTGAGGCTTAGACTTAGTTTTTGTTGTTTTATTTTAAAATCACCAAGTTCTTCCTTCTACTGTATCTTCCTTCAAAGATTGTAAAAACATTCATCACTATCTCCCTGTTATCTTCAGAAATGCTTGGAATGTAGAAGGATTAAAAAAGGAGCAGCAACTACTTGGCAATTAGGTGATTTGCATGAGGGCACATAGTTAAACAAGTGATTGCTAAATATTCTCTGGCTGACTCCTGAATAAATCTTGAGTCTACTGTATAGGTTTTCAAGCAGAATATCCAGGGGGAGCAATGATAGCTCAAGGAGATGAGACTTGAATTTTTCATAAACCAGGCCGAGGCTACCCACACACATCCTGATCAAGATGAGCTTCGTGGAGTCAGTACTATCCCAAGCTATTGGGGAAATATTATGATTTAACAATAAAGAAAACACAAGGTTGTGGGAAGAGAGGCTGGTGGTGGCCAAGTTAGTCTAGGCCCTGGAATTCAACATGGAGCACAATTATTTTGGCCCTCACAAAAACTATGCTCCTGTTACCCATCCCCTTCCAAATTTTCCTATTTCTCCTCCTTATATATTCCTCCATTTTCCACATACCCCTTCACAAGAAAAGTAACTCAACTGCAAAACACTCTTCCTGCATGGTTTTCTTCCTCTTAGCTTTAAAACAATAAACTTAGGGGCCATCAAGGCTTCACAGGAATAACCTGTCCTTGGTTAAAGTGTACATAGCCACTAGTACAATTAGAGTGCAGCACTAATTAGCATTGCTCCTGCTCCCCACCCCTGCTGCCCAACCTTATCTGTTTCCCTCCAACACTCCCTAGATGCACTCCCAAGGCATCTCCAAGTTTGTGAGAAGACTAGTCCCAGTTGGGACCACAGCATAGTGTGATCCTCCTTTCCCTGGAATCACATGCTAATACTCCAAATTTAAAACTTGAAAGTCAATCATTTCTAAATGAAACCTGCAAATCATCTCCTTTATGATGATCTTAGAAATAGAAAAAATCATGGCACTTTCTACTTTATACAAAGTAGCCCTTTTAATATATCCAACAAATAATTAAGTATTTATTATATTTCAGGCATTGCAATAGAAGGCATGGCCAAAGGAGGTCTTTTAGGAGATTTAGGTTGTAATAAACTATGCCACTCACTAACTAGTCACTTGTTTCATATCTGAGGATGAGCAAATCAAATATTGATAATGATTGCAGAAGGATCCAGATAGTCACATAATAATCTTCCTTCCATTTTAGAATAAAAGGAGTTATTCTGTTCAGGGACAATGGTATCTTAAGTAATTCACAGGTATGAGTGTGTGAATATCACAACTAGATGCAAACTTCTAATAACCATTAAATACTACAGCTTCAATCAACTAGTTTCAGAAAAGCAAAGACTTCAGCCAAATGGCATAATCAGACTTAGCACTTTACCTGAAAAACTTGGGCTTTATCAACTCCACCAGGTACCCAAAAAATGCATTCGAGGCAATGTCAGATAGGTACCATCCCAAGGAAGCAGATTTTTGAGTCATAAACAAGATGTGGCTCAATAATCAAAACAGGGAGGTAGGTTCACTCAAGTATCTAGAGCTTAAAATAATTCCATTTAACAGGTTTAACAACATGCAACACACACCCTCCAGCTGGCAGAAACACCTCTAACAACAAAAACAGGTAGCAAATACTAAACACCTTCCTAGACCATTCAGCAATCAGTGGACTACAGCTAACTCCTGAAGGTGAATTCAGAATCAAATCAAACCTCAAAAAGAGATTTGTTTTTCAGAGAAGTATGGATTCCACTGAATCCCAGGTTCAGATCAAAACCAGAAGTTGTGCTACATTAAAAAGAACACTGGCCCGGAACCTACAAGGAAGTTAGGTGGAAGAAGATGGAAAGCTGTCAGCCAAGATTTAAATTGCATATGTTGTTTTCTTTCCTAAAATCAGCCCCATAGAGAAATATGGTCTGGTGGGCCTTGCTGATGTTGCTTTCCCCTCCAGGGATTCATCCTTGTTTTTGCAGAAGAAGGATTATAGTTCAAGCCATCTGAAAGCCTCCCAGGAGACTAATGTTTCAAAGGAAAGACTCCAGAAGAACAAAGAAGGAAGCTACTTCTGTGTCTTCGGTAATGTTCATCCAAACCAGTTTTCATTATCTCTCAAGGGATAAGAACCCTCAAATACAGCACATTTATTCACAGTAAGGTAACAAATTGAAATAAACATCTTATTTAGTTTCTTATCTGTCTCTAAATCTTTTATTAGAGAATTTACAGGACCCATTGTCACATATTATCCCCATGTCTATTTTCTTCATTAAACTCTAGACCTATAGCAATGGAGGTAAAGGCTTAATTTAGAAATACAGGAATTATCCTAATTTATACAACAGTGGCAAACATTCTAATTATCTTTTGGGCATTTTAAAATACATTGTGTCCTTTTGCTTCATATTTCTCTAACTGGACTGCAAAGCTTGAGCCTACTTTTTTTTTTAACTTTAATTTTTTTTTTTTTTTTTTGAGACAGAGCAAGAGAGAGGGCACAAGTGAACGAGAGGCAGAGAGAGAGAGAGAGAGAGAATCCCACGAGGGGCACAGAGAGAGAAGCGGGGCTCACATTCACCTGAAGAGATAATGATCTGAGCCTAAGTCAGATGCTTAACGGACTGAGCCACCCAGGCGCCCAAGCCTACTACTTCTGAGCATACTTTTCTTGTAACCTCCAGAGTGCCTGGCACTGGAACAGGCACATACCAGTTAGATGACAATTTTTTTTTTCTTACACAAGTCAGGCCCTAACTGCTCTATACCAAAATAAACATTTTGACTGCCAATCTTGTCTAAGGCATTACTTGTCATAAAGGATTCAGAGAAATACGTGACCTACCACACACACACACACAATACCCTTTTATCCTCCCCAGCCTAATCCATCTTATCAGTTCAGAACTACCCTGATGCTGAGACTCTTATTTCTTTGCCTCAATTATCTGTCACTCTCTCAGTACCATCTGTTTAATGAAATGCCTTTAATTCTATAAATCAAATGAGAACATTTGCAAAAGTAATTCAATCGCACTTGAAACACAGTACAAAATGATGTTAATCATATGGCCCAATCATAAATATGGCTTCCCCATTAACACCTATACATTGTCACTTGAGAACTAAATTCCAAAATAGTTTCAAGAAAACTCTAAATTTTAAGCCCAGAAAGTAGAATTGTATCCCTATCTGTTGCTGACTCTACTTACCAATTTTTTGTGAAATAATAATCCTCAAACACAATTTTCAGCAACTGACTTAAAGAAAACTGCCAGCCCCTTCTGTTTTAGATGAAACCAATATCCAAAGCACTCCTGACTTCAGTCTTGCTTTCCCCAACCTCGTTCTGTAAGGGTTAAATTGTACTGTAGGGCTAACGCTTAGCTTGAAAGATAACAACTTTGTTCTGACACTGAAGGTCAAAAGATAACAGCCTTGCTTTTACTCTTGTAAATCATACTCCATACTCTTGTGAATCAGGCTTTACCAATGAAGGAAACAAAACCTCAAAAAAAGAGCATCAGAGACAAGGTCAAGGAGATCCACTGGTTGCAACTTAGCGCAGAAAGTCTAAAATAATCACCTCATTTGATAACTGTTTCTGACTCATCTGGCAACTGTTTCTAACTCATCTGGGAACTGTTTCTCTGTTCTGTTCCCAGATAATGATAAAACAATGTGATCGGCTTTAAAAACTCTGTACCCCGGCTGTTCGGGGCCACACTCTTATCAAGAGTGTTGGTCCCGATCGGTCGGCCTTGCCTCTCATTGTAATAAACTTTGTTGTGACTGTCACTGGTGCCCGTAGCATTCTGTTTCAGGAGTCCTGTGGATGCAACAATTCTTCCTCACTCTCAACACACACACCCTCAAAGCACTTTGAGCTCAGTCAAAACCATCTGTACCTCTGGTCAAGCCTTGCTTCCTCTCTGGAATACTCTTTCAGTCCTGGCCAATTACATCCACCACCTCACAATAAGTGGCTGCTCAAAATTAATTTCCCTATGGAAGTGTTCTCTGATTTCTCTCACTGGGCATGCTATGTGTCAGACACTTTTATGTAATTTTGCACAGATCAATTCATCTCTAATGTCTTATCTTGCCAATTTTTGGTGTCAGGTCTATTGTCCTCTCCCCAGTCCTAGTCACAGCCTCACTAGGACCCTGCGACACTTGCACACGGTCGGAGGGATCACCTTCGATGTCTCCCGGCACAGTACTTTCAGCAATTTGATATCGAGATTGAACTGTAGTCCTGCGGCAGGTATTCTTGGTGAAACAGAGCCAGGGTACAGGATTACGGAGAAATCCTGGCTCCCAGAAGTCAGCTCAGCGAAGTAGAGAATGGAGCTGGGGACTCTGAGATGACGGCTGGAGAAAAGGCGCAGGAGGAAGTGAAGGCCAGAGGGTTGTGACTAGACGACAGGGTTGGGCAGGAGCCAAAAGGAGGGCGTCTCAGGAGGTCGGGCGAGCTGCCCCCGGGCAGGACCTCTGAGAGCCGGGAACGAGGCAGGGGCAGGTCCGACTCACTTGTGGGTTCAGGAGGCTGCCAAGAGCTGAAGCCGAAGAGCAGGTCGCGGTAGCGCTGGAAGGCCTCGTCGAGGACGGAGCAGCCCGGCTGCGCGGCAGAACTGACGTGGTACTGGAACTGGAAGTTGTACGGAAAGATGGCGTAGTGCGAATCGGAGGTTTGGATGTACTGGGGCCATGGCCAGAGGGCCTGCGCCTGGCGGGCGAACGCTGCCGCCAGCAGCAGCGAAAAACAGAGCCCGCAGCCCGCCATGGCTCGCCGGTCCCCTGGTTCTCGGCCGGCCGGGCCACGTGAGCCCCCGGTCAGCTGAGCGGCGCCCGCGTGACTATCGGCGTGCCACGTGACCGGCCGACACCCCTCCCCCCCTCCCCTCTTACGCCGCGACCCCGGAGGACCAGCTCCCAGCCCCTCCTCTCACGGAGCGGTGCGGCGGTGACGAAGACCGCCCCGCGGCCGCGCCTCGGGCGACCTGGAGCTAGTAGGCGCGGGCGCCGGGTGGGAGGGTGGCGTGGGCGAGCGGGAAAGGGACAGTCTCCCAGGCTGAAGCGCGAACGAGATGGGAGGTGGAGGACGTCCTGGGCCCAGAGAACTTCAGAAGCAGAAACGCTGAAGGATGAAAACCACAGGTGGTGGTGATGTGAAATGCTGGGGGGCGGAAAGGGGCTGGAATTGGAGAGTCTGACTGGCTCTGCTTGACAGTTATCACGAGATCACAAAAATGTGACGTATTTATGACTGGAAAGAATCTGTACTTTTCAGAGCGAGCTGGAGGCATCCCATTCCCCGCTTCTAGCGTGGGCTCTTGCCCTGATGGTTGATAATCTCTTAGTAATTGCCCCCAAGTCCCCTCCCCCCCAAACAGTATATACTTACTGCAAGCATTTAGACATTGCTTAGACTTTGGGTGCAAAATTGGGAATACCCAGAGATAAAGACAGGCCCCTGCAGGGGCTTACATAGCAATCCCAAGAGTCAGCACTTTGTTTTGTGGACAATTGAAAATCATCCCAAAGACTTGGCCTTTTAGCAATCTCACGTTGAATGGTTGCATGGATAAACTAGTTAAGGGGCCCTTTTTTATTGCAAGTGGAAGATAATGACAGCTTGAACAGCTGTACAGCAGCAAGAGGACTGTAGATCCAGGAAATAGTGGGTATCCAGAATCGGAGGGGTAAATACAAGAGCAGCAGGTCGAAGTGTGATTTCAGGACTGAGCATGTGGGAAGGCACTCCTTTATGTGATATTCAACGTGTACGAAGGGAAAGGAGTCATTTACTTAAGTCACAGAATGAAGGAGCTGAACTGTGAATAAAGAGATTGTAAAAATTACTAATGAAAATACAAAGATTTTTCTTGAGAGAATATTTTAAACATATTATCCTCTAAGAAATACATCAATCAGAAAAGTAATGAACAACCATTAAAAACTTAAAGTCATAATCCATGTAAATGTTTAGAAACCAGATAGAGATAGTAGCAAAAATTAAAATTAAAGTTATTTAACAGTGTGAATTCTTTAAATTAATATATAGACATTGCCATCAATTTTAACAGATGAATAACAAGAATAAGGACATAGATAATCTAGTATATGATATTTGGTTGTTTTTTGCTATTTTTCCTTTTATTAAAGAGAGCTTGTTAAATGAATGAAACATAATTTAATTTCATATCTATAGCTTCTAATAAAATTAGTTTACATTATCAGAAAAAGAATTCACTATCAGACAATGTGTCCAGAATTTTGATTCATACACTCATCATTGTAGAAGCAGAGAGGAGGGAATGACTAAATTTTGCCTGGGGAAGTCTTTCACAAAGGAGGTGACTTTCCAGCTGGCTCCTAAAGCAAGAGTTTGCCAACCAGGGAAGGGGAGCATGGGCAAAGCACAGAGGAGTGAAAAAAGATGGCATGTAGGTATACCTGCTTTTTGAAAGTTGTTATTAAGCCACTTTGCTTTTATGAAAAACCTCCATCACATCAGTACCTGTTTTGCCAAAGAAATCTGGAGGATTTTCGTTTTTACAAAAAAAAAAAAAAAAAAGCAAAAAGTGAAAATAGTGTTCAGTGTTTGCTTTGCAGCAAGCCATTATAGAGGCAGTGTGTGCCCAAAGCAGAAAGAGTGGCCGTGTCAAGCCCCTTCCCTGGGAACTATGCTCAGCCGCCACACCTTTGAACCGTGTCTGTGAGCATCTGGGCTTTCTCTCCATTTATTTGGGGCCTCCATTAGCAAGATGTGTCCAAAGGTATCAGAAAAGCCTCAGAGAGATTATTTTTTTGGTCTGGGAATACTCAAATTAAAATTTTCCATATAAATTAAGGGTAATTGCTGCTGCTTTGCTTTGCACTATTTTGATTTATGAAAGGTTTCATAGGAATGCTTTACTTTATTTTTTTTTAGTTTTTTTTAATTAATTTATTTTTGAGAGACAGAGAGAGAGAGAGAGAGAGGGAGAGAGAGGGAGCGGGGGAGGGGCAGAGAGGGAGAGAGAGAATCTCGAGAACACTCTGCACTGTCAGCACAGAGCCCGACGCAGGGCTCGAACTCACAAACCATGAGATCATGACCTGAGCCAAAACCAAGAGTCGGACACTTAACCGACTGAGCCACCCAGGCGCCCCAGGAATGCTCTACTTTTAGATAGTGGGGAACCTGTATTAAGGATAGGGCTTATGGGGATAGCAAAAGGAGATTTGCCATGATTATCTCACTTTTACCATACTCTCTTCTTGGAATGCCTTTCCCACCTCCCACTCACACTCCACCTACTTGAAAGTCTAAACTTACATTTTTACTATCCTGTAAATCTCTGACTTCTCAGACTTGGGTAAAATCCCATAACCCTTTGAGCTTATCTCCATTAGAGCACTTATGTCATAGTATTGTAATTGCTTGTCCATTTGTCTGTCTTCTCTGCTAGAGTAAAAGCTCCTTAAGCACAGGTTCTGTGTTCACTTCTGTATTCCTAGCCCCAGGCACACTGTCTAGGACATAGCTCGATAAAGACTTGTTAAATGAACACCTACAGGACTCTGAATATCTTTTCTACAGTTTCGCATCTACTTACCCTTCAGGCCTTTGCCTAGACCAGACCAGCATGTATGCTGTGACTGGGGTACAAGTGTGCTGAGACAGTGATCCTCTCAATCCTTAGGGTGGCCAGGCAGAGCCTGGGGCAGCTAGGCATCCTAGCCAGTCACCTCCAGCTAAGAGCCATCTCCTACATGTGCTCTGAGAAACTTTGAGAAGCACTCAGACATCACTTCCTTTTGGGTGCTTCTTTATGGCACTGTCACTTTATCTTCTTTACTTGTTGGTGTCCCCCAGAAACCACATGCTGAGTGAGTGGTATCTTTTTCACAGTGGTATCCTTACTGCCTGAGCCAGGATTCTGCATGTGGTAAGTGCTCAACAAATATTTGTTGAAAGAATGAATAAATGAGGAAGCATTTGTATTAACTTTTTAAAGATAGTCAGAATTTCAATGTGTAGACGAAAAGCAGTCCATGGAGAAGGGCTACAAATTTGAGGAGAACTTCATCTAATTTGTTTGATTCAGGATCCAGAAGGTCCTAGAACAGTGTCTGGCTCACAGACACTTAATGAATATTTTTGAATGAAGAGAATGAACCTAAGCAGAGATCTCTAAAGAATCTGGAGTGCTATGGGGGTGTGAGCAGTTCTGTTTGTCTAGACTCAATAGTGCATGAAGAGAAATACTGATAAAAATGTTTGTTTCCCCTTTACCATAGGCGCTATTTGATTAAGGCTCCTGCCTACTTTAAGCTTACATCTAGGTCAGATAAACTCATGGGAAAACATCAGAAATCCTATCCAGGTTGGGTCAGCAGCCTCTGATGTTGGGATTTTTTTAGACCAAAAAAGGGCAAATTTATATAGTTAGGATCGTTATGTGGTGTTTAAGGCCTTTTCAATAGGGACCCCTTTTGCTTAAACTGCATCCTGCTCCAGGCAACCTGATGGCTTCTCTGGCCTAGGATTATCTTGGCTCCAGTCTGATCTCTTAGGCCTTTATGCCTATAGCCTCAGTGGTTATAAATGCTCATGCTGGCCATAACCACAGACATAATCTGAAACCCCCTTTAGGGAGGTGGGGCACCAATGAAACCTTAAACTAGTTATGTAAGTCCTTTAGAGAAAATCATTCAGACCCTTTGCCCACTGGAATTCCCCAGTTGGCCCTAATATTTATCACTCATTTCCTTGCCTTCTTCCCATTCTCCTCCTGCCTGGGTCTATTCTCCTTCCTTGACTAATAGGCTATAGACTCCAAGAAACCTAGAGCACAAACCCCTTCAACTTTCCTGTTCTTTGGCCATCTATTAACGTTTGACTTCAGGAAACATTACTGGCATATTACTGTGAATCAGATTTCCAAAATGTCCAATATCACCGATGCTATGGGTAGACCTCTTTGTGGTAAGAGCACAGTTAAAATGTCTTACTTATGTTGGGAGTGCCTTTTGGATCTTTCTCTTGGATTTTTTTTCCTTCCTGGGATTGATTATCCTTCTTTGAATTTTTCTGCCACAGAAAATGCCTTGGGGCTTCCTCCCACTTGGGAGAGAACTGGAGAGAGGAGTCAGGAGGTGTCCAGAAGAAGGGAGGAGTGGAACATGATGCAGGATGTAGGCTAGGCAGAAGGAATCCTGTGGCCCCAAGGTAGTAATGCCTAGCTCACCTGTGTAGAGTATTCATTCAAGATCTGGGTCAAGGCCCTGGCTACAGTGTTCCTTGGCCTGGAGTATCCTCAGCATGTCTCTTCCATAGGGACTTGGGTTATAACCACATTAGGCAGTTGGCCAAAATTCAATGGTTTGAATATTCTGCTCCTGGCCTCATACTATCATGAATAAAGATCAAGCATTCATGAAATTCCAGAGAAAGATTCAACTCTTAACAAAGATCTTAGGGAGAGACACTATATTACTGAACTCAAATCAATATATGCTGTTTGGGAAAAAAAAAAAAACAATATATAGTTTTCAAACATACAAACCTATGCATGGTTAGATACATACTATAGTGTATGTTTGAAATCTGATATACAAACAGTATATATTTACTGTTCGTAATGTATGTTTGAAAACTATTTAATCCTCTTTTGTAAATGTTTGCTTGAATTAAAACAACAGAACAACCTCCTTGGCACCCCCAAAAGGGATACAGAGATCTAGGGGAGAATTCTGGGAGGCATAAATGTTTAGAGCTAGATATGATCTTCGAAATTATCTAAGTTACTTCTCATTTAAGATAAAAGAACTGAGAACCAGCGAGGTAAAGTTGAAGTGCTATTCCTCAAGAACAAGAATAGGATGTTGTTCATAGTGAAACTTCCAGCACTTAGCACAGTGAATGTACATTGTAAGTGCTCAGTAAATTTTTGTCAAATGACAAAATCCATTCCTTGATACACATAATACAGTGCTTTTCATGCAGTAGGCACACCAATAAATTTTTATATTGCAGTTACCCAACCAGCTGCAAATATAGCCAGAGAGTGGTAAGGCTGGAACCAGACCACAGATGTGTGGCCTTCCTAACTGGGACTCTCTCTACCCCACTGGATTGTGCCTCTGGAAATGCCTGCAGTCATCTAGTCTCCTGGGAATTGAATGCAGTTTAATCATGGAGTCCACTAAGCCTACATCTTGTTCTTAGCCCACTGCCTTATTCTAGAAAGGAACGATCATTGAATTTGAATGTGCATGGCAACTTTCAATTAACCTTAGAGCTAGAAAGAAGCAACGATGCAAGTAATAAAGTCACTGTGTTTGGCCAATTTTTCTCTCCCTTGACAGCTGACTTCCTAAAGTTTGCTTAGGAAAACAATAAAATCCATTTATCTTCCTTGAGTCCACATTAGGCAGATAGTGGGAGGAGGCCAGTGGAAGGATAAAGAATTGTTCAAATTCAACAAGTGAACATACAAGTAATTATGAGGTAATTAGAGCTCTATCCATGCAGTCAAAGGTCAAATAAACAGTGATCCTTCCAATTACTATGAGTGATAATACGTAATATAAGAATGCTTCAAAAATTAAAATGATTCTTCATGTTCTACGTGCAAAAAGTTAAACACTTACTATTCGTATCAGAGTTCTATTAGTTGTGAGGAAGAAAACTCCAACTAGCTCAACAGCGGGGAGTTAATCATCTTCACAAGCATCTAGATATAAGAAGGTAGCTATAGCCAAGGTCAAATAGGCTGTAATATCTATTAGGAATCAAGGTTACCCTGTGGTCTCTCAGGACCCATCCAGACTCTCATCTCCACCCCTGCATCTGTTTCATTCTCCTTATCTCCCTAATTTATTCCCTCAGTATTCCAGTTTTCAGTTCTCCAGAGACAGGATATGATTAGTCCCGCTAGGAAGAGATGTCGTTCTTGATCATAACAGCTGTGGCTGTTGGTAAGACATGGCAGTCATCTAACCCACAGATGATCAAAACTCCTATCTTTGAACAGATGCTAGTGAAGGAATAGATTCACTTAGAAGGGACTCTATGGGGAGGTAATGACTGTCATTACTTTATTATAAAAGCAATATATATTTATTTTTTAAAATTCAAAAAGCACAATATTGTATGTAGAAGGATGACTCTCAGTTCACAAACTCAGCTACACAGGAATTACAGTTTTCTTTTCCAGAATACCTCATGACCCAACCACCTGATCTGCTGGGTTCACCATCATCCTCCCCTGAAAGATAGGGGCACCTGGGTGGCTCAGTCGGTTAAGCGTCCAACTTCGGCTCAGCTCATGATCTCACAGTTCGTGAGTTCAAGCCCCACATCAGGCTCTGTGCCAATAGCTGAGAGCCTGGAGCCTGCTTCTAATCCTGTGTCGCCCTCTCTCTGCCCCACCCCCACTTGTGCCTGCACTCTCTCTCAAAAATAAATAATAAACATTAAAAAAAATTTTTTTAAAGCCAGAAAGATAAAGACTACTGGCACTTTAGTACAAATTTATAAATATATATGTGCAATTTTAAAAATATATACACATGTTTATATTTTTTCTGGTTTTAATATTTTATGGTCAAAGAACATGTCCTGTAAGAATTCTACTTTTTCCTTCTCATCACAAGAAAAAAAATGTAACTATGCTGATGGATGTTAACCAGACTATTGTGATGATCGTTTTGCAATAATACAAATATCAAATCATGAAGTTGTACACCTAAACTAATGTTGTATGTCAGTTATACCTCAAAAAATGAAAAAAAAAGAATTCCACTTTTTGGAACTTAGTAATATTTGGTTTTTGACAGTTTTTCTCAATGTCTTATAGACATTTTCTTTTAAGTTTTAAGTTTATTTATTTATTTTGAGAGGGGTGGGGAGAGGGAGAGAGATAATCCCAAACAGACTCCAGGCTGACAGCACAGAGCCCGATGTGGGGCTCAAACTCACAAACTGTGAGATCATGACCTGAGCTGAAACCATATATATGACAAAGTATGTATGGTTATTTCTGTATAAGACCATTTCCTATGCGCATACATCCATAATCTCTAACAACAAAAAATGACAGCGTGATATAACTATTGCCATGCTCTCATCTTTCAGTTAACAATGTATTATGACAAGTGAAATAAGTCAGAGAAAGGCAAATACCATATGATTTCACTCATACGTGGAACTTAAGAAACAAAACAAATGAGCAAAGAGAAAAAGACAGGCAAACCAAGAAACAGACTTCTTAACCATAGAGAACAAACTGATGGTTACTGGAGGTGAGGTGGGGAGGGGGGGATTGGGTTATATAGGTGATGGGGATTAAGGAGTGCACTTGTGATGAGCACCGGCTGTTGTATGGAAGTGCTGAATCACTATATGGTACACCTGAAACTAATATTTGCACTGTATGTTAACTGGAACTTAAATAAAATATTTTTAAAAACCAATATATTATGTAAAAGCTAATATTCTAGGGGGGTCCCCCAGTTTTATAGAGACATAGTTACATACAGCACTCTATAGGTTTAGGTTGTATGGCATAATGACATATATATCATGCAATGATTACCACAATAAGTTTAGTTAATGTCCATCATCTCATATAGATACATATAATATATATTTTTTTCCCTTGTCATGAGAACTCTTAGGATCTACTCCCTTAATGACTTTCATATATATCATACAGCAGTATTAACTTTAGTCAACATATTGTACATTGCAACCCTAGGATTTATTTCTTATAACTGGAAGTTTGTGCCTTTGGCCACCTTCATCCAATTTCCCCTCCCTCTACTCCCTGTAATATTCTGTTTTTAAAAGCAAAATAATAATAATAATAATAATAATAATAATAATAATAATAATGGTAGCTAACATGCACTAACATACTTATCATGTGCTGGACACCATTCTAAGGGCTCTACCTATGTTAATTTATTTAAGCCTCACGATAACTTTATATTTGATATATGTAGATGCTCTTATTATTCTCAGTTTATAGATAAGGACATTTGAATTGAATGGTTAAAGTTCCATAATTGTGAAGCTTCCATAATTAATTAGTCAGTTCCCATTAATGCACATTTAGGTTGCTTCCAAATTTTCTCACTTATAAGCAATACTACAATGACCATCATTGAGGATATTGGTTGCCAAGCCAGCATCTATTTTCATCCTATCCCACCATTAATACCTTGTTTTCACTTGGAAGTTTCATCCTTCAGTTCTGTACCTTGGATGAGATTGACCACAGTCCTAGGCCTTTCCTGGCTTAAGCCATATAATTCCCTCTCACTCTCTGTAAATACTTGGAAACATGGAATAAATATTGACATTCTCGCCAGTAATGTGTGAAAATGCTCATTTAATCAATCTTTTTCAATATTAGTATTATCCTTTCATTGCTACTGTTAATATCTTAAACTTAATTGTAAATATATGTATAATGAAATTGGTAAGTAAGATCTAGCAAAACAGAAACAGCATACATGGCATACATGTCATTATAGAAAAAGAAAAAGCTGAAAGAAAACTGGATCATTCTGGCAAATAAGAGGGAAAGAGGAGGAAACAAGAATATGTATTTAACAGAAAATACAAAGAATGAGGATAGGACTAAGCCGAATCAATCTAAACTATCATCACATATGTAAATAGGTTAAATTCCGCTAATCAGAGACAAAGACTCAGATTGTGCAAAGAACCGTCTAAATGTTGTTGATAGAAGACATTTATTTTTTTAAGTTTTTGTTTTTTTTTCTGAGAGAAAAGTGAGAGGGGCACAAAGAGGGAGAGAGAATCTGAAGCAGACTCTGCACTGTCAGCACAGAGCCCAACATGGGACTTGAACTTACAAACCATGAGATCATGACCTGAGCTGAAGTCAAACACTTAACCGACTGAGCTACCCAAGCACCCCAATTAGAGACATTTAAAATGGTACCAAAATGTCAATCTATGACAAAGTAGGCAAAAATATATAATGAGAAAAAGACAGTCTCCTCAATAAATGGTGCTGGGAAATCTGGACAGCTATGTGGAAAAGAATGAAACTGGACCACTTCCTAATACCATACACAAAAATAAGCTCAAAAGGGATGAAAGACCTAGATGTGAGAACTGAAACCATAAAAATCCTAGAAGAAAACATAGGCAGTAATCTATTTGATGTCAGCCATTGCAACTTCTTACTAGACATGTCTCCAAAAGTAAGGGAAACAAAAGCAAAAATAAACTATTGGGACAACATCAAAATAAAAAGCTTCTGTACAGTGAAGGAAACCATCAACAAAACAAAAAGACAATCTACTGAATGGGAGAAGATATTTGCAAATGATATATCTGATAAGGAATTTATATTCAAAATGTATAAAGAAATTATACAACTCAACACTAAAAAACAATGTGATTTAAAAATGGGCAGAGGACTTGAATAGCGATCTTTCCAAAGAAGATATACAGATTTCCAACAGACACATGAAAAGATGCTCAACATCACTAATCAGCAGGGAAATGCAAAATCAAAACCACAATGAGATATCACCTTACACCTGTAAAATGGCTAAAATAAAAAAAGATAAATAACAAGTGTTTGCAAGGATGTGGAGAAAAGGGAACCCTTGTGCTCTGTTAGTGGGAATATAAATCAGCACAGCCACTGTGGAAAACAGTATAGAGCTTCCTCAAAAAATTTTAAACAAATACTATGTGATCCAATAATTCCATTACTGGGTATTTACTCAAAGAAAATGAAAGCACTAATTTGAGAATATATGTGCACCCCTATATTTATCGCAGCATTATTTACAATAGCCAGAATAGGGAAGCAACCTAAGTGTCTTTTGACAGATAAATCAATGAAGAAGATATCACACACACACACACACACACACACACACACACACACACCTTTATACATTTTATTTAAATATCACTAAGACCGGGGCGCCTGGGTGGTTAAACGTCCAATTCCTAGTGTCAGCCCAGGTCATGATCTCACAGTTCGTCAGTTCAAGCCCCACATTGGGCTCTGCACTGTCAGCGTAGAGTCTGCTTTGGATTATCTCTCTCCCTCTCCCTCTGTCTCTTCCCCTTCAAAATGCATAAATAAACTTAAAAAAAATTTAAAATGTCTATAGAACATTGAGAAAAC